AAAAAAAAAAACACATCATAGTAAAATTAATACCTTCTCCGCTTCGCATCGAAGCTAATATATTAATAACGAAAATAATCCGATATGTATCGTAAAAATATTGGAATTTTGTTTTTAAAATTAACGATAAGCGCTTGGCATAGCGCTTTCAACCGCCACGTAAAACATGTATATTCCCTTCTACCGCAACCGGTCATTTCTATAAATAACGATACGGGCCAGGAAATCCAAAATACGAGCGCTTCTGTAAAGAAATTGCCTATACGAAAAAAATTCATTTAATTTCTTTCAAAGAAACCTAATAAATTTTTTTAAATCGAATAGTCAAATAAGAATTAATGAATAGTTGTAATTTTAATGTATAAGTCAAATTGCCATTTAACATTATAAATGTTAATCTTTTTATTTCTTCCTTTTTGGCCGGGCATGCGCCGCTTACCTAGCTTACCCTGACCTCACGCCACTGCTCTTTTATTTGTATTACTTAAAATTTAGCTTTTTTTAAGTATGGTATAAAGTAGATTTTGCAGTTATTCCCAATGAATCCCCTGTTATGATATCTGATACCTTTTTTTTTTTTTTTTTTGAGTTTTTATGTTTTTATCTCACATAATTCCTAAATAAGTACTAGGTCAATACTTGACCAAAAACTGATTAAGTGTAAAGCAATACAAACAAAGAAGCAATGTTGCTCATAAAAGTAGGATTCAAGAAGAATTAGATATGATATATGATATAGATATATGATAGTTAGAATTGTTTTGGACTTGACCTGTGTATTGCTGTTCATTCAGATTATTTCAGATGCTATTACTTTGTTAATAACTATTTTGCTTTTTTTTATGGATGTATAAAACTCACTATAAACACGAGATAATTAAAAAATAATTCTATAATTATCAAAACTATTGATGTAATCTTTGAAAATGTACGGATTAAAATAGTTCAATTTATAGCATCTTTCTTTAATGATTGATTAGTATTAAGTAACCATTAAAAATATTTGCTTAAATAACCTTATAAGTTTAGTATAATTTCAAAAAAAAATCATGTTTTAGACCAGCCATTTTCTATAGAGGATCTGATGCTGAAGGATTTCATTTGTCATCTGGTTCACATTTTGTGTATCCATCTAACTTCCCTGTCAGAGAGTATCAGATGAGTATTATTAAGACTGCTTTATTTCATAACACTTTAGTTAGTTTGCCAACAGGTAAATTTTCAAATATTTATTTGAATCGTGGTTATTAGTTAAAAAAAAAAAAAAAAGCATTAACATTTTAATTACTGTTATTTAGGAATGGGCAAAACTTTTATTGCAGCTGTAGTTATGTATAATTTTTACCGTTGGTATCCAACTGGGAAAATTGTTTTCATGGCACCAACAAGGCCTTTAGTTGCTCAGCAAATTGAAGCTTGTCATACCATAATGGGTATTCCTAGGGATGTAACATTTGAAATGACAGGTATGTATTGATCATGATTCTAATTAATCATGTTAGGTATATATAAAATATCTTATATTAATATTTTTTAGGAAGTATACCTCCTGAACAGAGATATTTAGCATGGAAAAAATATAGAGTGTTTTTTTTAACTCCCCAAGTAATGGCTAATGATATGGCTATCAATAAGTGTCCAACGGATTTATTAAAATGCATTGTTATAGATGAAGCACATCGAGCTACAAAAGATTATGCGTATGTTCAGGTAAATAATCTTTGAAATCAATATTTCCTAAAACTATTCATATAAAAATAAGATGTGTTAAAAGAGGATAATATTGTGAATCAACATAAAATAAAGTACAACACAATTAGTTGCAATTAAATAATGGGTAAAATTTCACTATAACTAAAACATATACTAATGTATAAATAAAACTTTGTTCTAACAATGCAAGTACTTATGCTTATGAAACATTTTACCGAATAATATAATTTACTTTGAGTAGAGATATAGGTAGCATAATATAATTATGATAAAACACAATGGCATCAAATAACCTTAAGACTCTGTATGAATTCTTATCTAACACTAGTATAACTCGTTTAGAATTACTAGCATTATGCAGTATTAATATAAATAATAATTTATTGATTACATTTTCAACAAGATGCAACAGTCAGTTAATATCTTTCTAAGTACTGGTCCAACAAATGGCAACAATCATAATTAACTTAATAATTAACTTATTTAATAGTTAATAATCTAATTAAGAAAATGACTGGTCGATAATAATTTTTGGACCAGTATTTTGAAAGCTATTAAAAATTTTAAATAATAACTGGAAATCAAAAGTGTGTGTTGTTATTTTTAATTAGACATTTCCTGGTTGCACAATTATTCTCACATAGATATAAATATGTCAATAATTTCAAAAATACTGGTCTTAAAGTTATTATCGACCAGTCATTTTCTTAATTATATTATTATCTATTATCTAAATAAGTTAGTTATATTAAGATTGTTGTTATTTGTTAAAGTTGATATCTTTGAAAACCATGATTGAAAAATCAAGAACTTTAAGAAACTAATAAAATAATTATTAATATTACTTTTAATTTTTCAATCAATTAAGTGGTTTAAGACAAATTTATAAAACTTTAGTAGATATTATTAAATAAATAAATAATGATCAAAATTATTGGAAAGTCTATAGGAGAGTATGTGATGTGTACAATCAGTCGCTGCATTAGTGGTGATGATAGTTGGTGTAGAAAATATATCAAACATAAGATAGAGTCGATCTGTAATTATTTGGAATTAAGGCTTAGGAAATGACAATTAGAAAGTCTACAAGAAAACTATATCAATAATTAAACTACTTATTTTGTCTATTCAACCTATTGCAATGATAAACTGCAGTTCTTTTAAATTTGTTGTACCTATTGTTCATTTAGAATATTAATATGCTTAATAAAGTTATTTTCATGTCAAATTTTAAATATGTCTATTTTATAGGTTCTAAAAGGCTTACAAGTTCAAAATAGATTAGTTAGAATTATTGGATTATCTGCTACTCCAGGAACTACAGTTGATGCTGTGACAGAAGTTATACAAAATTTGAACACATCAAAGTTGGAATATAGAACTGAAGAATCCCTTGATGTTGTTAAGTATTTAAATAAAAAAGATGTTGAATGCATTGCAGTAAAGCTTACAGATTCAATTCTCAATATACGTTCTTCATTTTTAATGGTTAGTTAATTGAGCTTTTTTAATTTAAGCAAAATATATTTTTTATTTAATGACTATCATCTACTGAAATTAAAAGTAAAAACAAAATAGTTTTTGTTTTAACAACTGTCTCTAAAGAGACAGTTGTTAAGTTATTGTAAATGACTTAACAATTATTAAACGATTGATTTATAATGGTGTTTTTTTAGGATCTACGACAATTCCACAACTGATATATTTGTTACAAATTTGAATTAATAATTATCTAGGTTGCATTTAATCATGTAAAATTACCTTAATAATCTTTCTCAAAAATATTCGAAACTTTATGTTTGAGAGTTATTTAGAAGTAGCTAAATTTATACTTGACGACCAAATTGAAACCATTTTATGGTAATCATATAAATTTTTTATTAAATTTATTCTCATAATAATTTACAGAAAGATAATTTCAATAATATTTCTGTAATGAATTAGTTGCATTATACCAAAAAAAGTCTAACTATTCATCGCCATCTCATAATAAAAAAGTTGTAATGTAAGATAGATGACTTTTATTTGTAAAATTCATTAATTTTTCATTCATCACACTGTTAAAAATTGAATTCTTTATGTCTTACATGTGTATCAACTTTATTTATATTAACAAATACTTGCATAATTATTAAGCTTAAATTTGAGAAAATGTTTTAATTGAAAAAATCGACTATCTACATTGATAATAACTTTTAAACCATAATTTCAAAGATATGAATATTTTTATATTTAGACAAGTGAAAGAGAATGGTTGGTTGGGTTATTATTACAATAATATATGAGGAATGGCTTAAGTATAACTCACAAATCGAGAACTATATATGAATATAAAATGGCAACACATTTTTTAAAATACTATTATTTTAGGAAAAATTGTATGGTCAACAATAAATCAATTAACTTGTTTATATATACTAATCACTGGATGTAAAATATCCAATATTTTAAAATAAAAAATATGTTAAGTTTTTAAAGTAAATATTAATTTTAAGTTTTAAATAATATTAAACAGAGGTTAAAAGAGTTAATTGTTAATTTTTTACTATAAGGTCTATGACAAATATTCAAGACGTTTAAAACAGTACAATGCTCTTAATGGAAATGTTACTAATTTAACAAAGTTTCAAGTAAGTAAATTGCAAAGTTATTTTAAATGTATTAATATGGTTAATTTTCTCTTAGGTATTAGGCGCAAAACAAAAATTTCAAGCAAGTAATATGGCTAGAGAGATGCCAAAAGCTTTGGTTGGCTGTTTGATAAATGACTTCACTATTTGTATGTCTTTAGCTTATGCATTGGAGTTATTGACTACGTATGGAATAAAAGTGTTTTATTTGCAATTATTAGGTAAATATTTTTACATTTTTAACATAAATTTAAGTTGTTATTATTTTTTTTTTAGAACTTTTAGAATGTCATAAATGCTTAACTAGTGATTCTGAAGTTGGAAAACTAATGCATGAGATTAATATTGAATTGAATAAACAGGTATAATAATTAATTAAAATGCTACTACTGTCTAACTTTCTGCATGATAATTTAAATTTAAACAAACCCAAGTGTTATTTATTCTAATAAATAAAATTAATAAGTTTTTAATTAATGGACTTAATGTGTTTATTATTTTAACAGGATCTAACATGGAGCCATCCAAAACTTTATGAATTAAAAAAAATTGTTTTGAATTACTTTAACATGGAAAATGCTGATGCAAATAGTAAAATAATAATTTTTTGTCAGGTAATTGATTATTTTTTAGAGAACTAACAATAATTTTTAATTTTTTTATTTCTATGGAAGTTTATTTTGTCCACTTGAATTTATTTAATTTACTGTTTTATAGTATCGATTAGTTGTAGTAGAAGTGTTTGAACTATTGAAAAGTTTTGGTGAACCAATAAAACCTGTTATGTTTGTGGGCCAATCTCTTAAAGAAAAAGGAGGACTATGTCAAAAAAAACAATTGGAAGTATGATTGTGAATAATACAATATACAATAATTTAAAAAATGTAATATAGATTGAAAATTTTCTTTATGAAATAATATAGTAATTCTATATTATTTAATAAATGTATATAGAATAATAGTTATTCTATAAATAATTGTTCACATAAGAAATAAAATAACATATTTTTCTCTTAAATAAAAAAAATAAAACAATCTAATGTTTTTTGAGTATGTCCATGATTAAAATTTGATTTATTTCTTTCAATCATTAAATATTTAAAGAAACTATTAGATGTCTATTATTTAATGTAGAGACTGTTATAAAGTTTTTTTTTAAATCTTATAACTGAGTTTTTCCTTTAAATGTTTGTTTTTTCTATCCTTAGATTAGTTAACCAAATAATTGTATTGATTGATGAATTCCGATAATCATTAAGTTAAATGGTTTCCTGTTTCAATTGTTGTGTAGTAATGAATCTAACAACTAAAATTAGTAAACAAAGCTTGACATATATATGTATATTGTTTTTACATTTTTATTTTTTCATCAAGTTGTGTGTTCTTTAAGAATTTTTTTAATTTTGTGTTGTTTTTTGGATCTGTCCCTAAAATTGTTTTCAAATTTGTTGAATCATGAGGTTGTATATTGTGGATCTTGATTTTCGAAAACAGTTTTAATATTTAGTTGTGTTTTTGTTTTTTTTTTTAAATACCAAATTTTTTTTATAGTGATTTTGCTGTTTTGTTAAATAGCGTTATTGGTCTGTAGCTATTTAAGAAGTTTTGACTTTTGTTAAGTTTGATTATCATCCATTGAATTGATATATCTCCTGTTAGCCATAGTCTATTGAATATACTCAGCATTCATTCTGTCACTTTTTTCCCAAGATCTGTTATAATATATATGGTATTTCATCATCATTCCACTAGGAGACTCTTGGTCTCCTGCTGTTTTGTGTTTTTATAATTTTTTTTGTGGCTAGTTTTATTATTTTGTTTGTGAAAGTTTCTACAATTTCTTCTCTTTACATGTAATGTAATTTTAGCTTAAGATATTCACACTCCTCTTCTAAGAGGTCCTTATATAGTATCCAATTCATATTTTTAATATTCCATCTTTGCTTTTTATTTCATATGTCAACTTTTTTTCCTTATCTTATTTGAATTGAAAAGTTTTCACTGCTGTAAATTTCCTTATAATAATATATAATTATATGTTATATTATAACTAATTATAATTAGTTTTATACTTTTAAAGATATTGGTGGGTGAGGCATAGTTAATTAATTGCACCTTGTGTAACAAACTTAATGTAACTAATAAAAATAAATTTTTATTTAATATATAATCATAAATAATAATAAAAATATAATTTTTAACTATTTAAATTTATTTTTTAAGTTAAATCAATTTAGTTTATTAATTAATAATTTAAATAGCGTTGGTCAGGTTTATGTTTGGATTCGAAGATATAATTTTCAATGGGCTCTCTTCTAACAGTTATAAAAATTTATCATATTATTCTGATAAATTAATAGATAATTTTACTTTCCCATACATATGAAAAATAATTTCTTCCTACAATATCATTTAGTTTAAGATCTAATAGTCTATGAATTATACTATTGTAAAATATCCAAGTGATTTCAATGGACTGCCAAATAGCAAACTAGGCCAGACCATCATTGACTTTAATCAAAATTTTAGTTTTTTATACATTTGTTCAAAACAGGTTATGGTTCGATTTAAAAATGGTGACTTTAATGTTTTGATAGCTACAAGTGTAGCTGAAGAGGGATTAGATATTGGTGAAGTTGATTTAATTATTTGTTTAGAAGCTAATAGATCTCCTATTAAATTTGTTCAAAGACTTGGACGGACGGGTCGTAAAAGATCAGGAAAATGTATTACTTTGCTGACTGAAGGGAAAGAACATGTGGTAAATAATATGTAATTAAATAAAATATTGAATAATTTTAATTATTTAAAGCCATAAATTTAATTTTCAATAGAAACAAGTAAATTTTAACCAATATCTGACAATAGTTTTATGATTTTATACTAACCAAGTAAATCGATAAGTTGTGTTTATTTACATAACTTTAAAATATAGTTTTTTAAGTGCCTAAAGATAGTTAAATGTGTCCTAAAAGGTTACATTTAAAATACTTGTAAAATATTTTTACAATTTTTTTATTTATTTAAAGAACAAAATATTAAATTGAAAATGCTTAAAATTACAGAAATATAAGAGTAGTGTTTCTAGCAGTAAAACCCTTGTGACAAAGCTGTTGAAAAACAAAGTAGTTCTCTCCAAGTTAGGTCAAGGAGGACCTAGATTAATCCCTAATAGTAAAAAAATATATATATTTCAAAAGTATTTCATTTATTACTCTTAATAACTTGTTTTAGATATTGATCCAAAACTTTTAATGGTACATATAAAAAAAACTGAGGAAATTATTCCAGAAAATAAAAAGAGAAGGAGTAAAAGGAAAGCTGATTTGATTGAAAATGACGATGATAATAATGAAATTAAAGGTTTGTTTATATTAGAGTTTTCAAATCAAATATAGTTAAATTATTTTTTTTTTAGATAAAATTAAAAAAAAAAGTAAAAAACGAAAAATAACGGACTCTGAGTCACCTAAGCAAAAAAACATTGGAATAAATAATAATAATAAGTTAGATGCTGAAGACAATTTTTTTATAAGTAATAAAAAAGATGACACTGTCATAAGTATTGATGATAATGTTTTAAAAAAAAAAATTGATTTACTGTCATCTAATGAAGCAGTTTTTGACTATTTACCATCAGTAGAAATTTCTGCTGATGATATGAGTGACACTTTTTCCAAAGAGTTAAAAGTCTTCAATGAATGGGAACAGTCATGTGAAAATGCTAACTCTGTTTTAGTGAATGAACTATTTTTTAAAGTACTGAATGTATTTACTGAACCTTGTGAAGATGTTCAAACAGAAAATGAAACTATTTTTTTGAATGACAAATGTCAAAAAGTTCAGAATAAAGTTAACGGGATAACAAAATCAGTATTTGAAACCCGAAATCATACTCAATATGATCTGAGCATGAATATGTCAACTGAAAAAAATAATTTATTTATTGAATCAATAAATAAAGATGACAATAGAGCTAAAATTTTATCAATGGACAGTGATATTATTAATTACAAAGATATTAAAATGTCTACTTTTAATAAAACCCAAGATAATATAATAGAAAATTCCAAATTAATTGACTTTAAAGACTTATTTAAAACTCAAAACTCTATTGAACAAAATAATGACAATATCAAACTCAATGACAAAAATTTTGGTGAATATTCAACTCATTTAAAGTTTACACAAAGAAGTCCATTAATAAATAGCAGTTATAGATTAAATGAAATGAGAACAGATATTTCTGACTTTAATAATGATTTTTTTAAAAATCAAAATGTTAGTAATGAAATTGAAAAAAAAATTCCTGAATCATTTAATGATAGTAATACATTAGATTTAATCAGCATTCAAAATAGTCCTATTGTAAGCAGTAGTAAAAATAGTAATATCTTTGAAAACCTAAGTATTTCTTCTGATAGCAATTCAGATTCTGAAAATAAACTAGTGAAAAAAATTAATTTTGATGAATTTTTCAAAAGTCAGCGAGCAAATAGATACATTGAAGACTATATGGAAAAAATTACTGAACTACCTAAAGAAGTAGAAAAAAATATTGATGGAAACTCTTATAAAAGTTTTATATTAAATGATGACAAAGAAAGCTGTTCAATAATTTCAAATGATGCTATAAGTAATGCTAATGAAAAATTAGTAGAAAAAGAAGGGTTAATAGATTTATGTGAAAGTCAGTCATCAAGTAGTTGTTATAAAATTGATGGGAACATTTTTTCAAATAAAAAATTACATTCTGGAAGTTTGAAGAATAGTACTGTTTGTAATGAATACAGTTCTAGTGTTTTAAAAGAAGAACAATTTCCAAAAACTTCTAATAAACCAATAGATTTTAAACAATTTTTCAAAAGTCAACGATCAAATAAATACATTGAAAATTACACAGAAAAAATTACTGAACCATCTAAAGAAGTAGAAAAAAATATTAATGGAAATTCTTATAAAAGTTTTATATTAAATGATGACAAAGAAAGCTGTTCAATAATTTCAAATGATGCTATAAGTAATGCTAATGAAAAATTAGTAGAAAAAGTAGAGTTAATAGATTTATGTGAAAGTCAGTCATCGAGTAGTTTGAAGAATAGTACTGATTGTCATAAATACAGTTCTAGTGTTTTAAAAAAAGAACAATTCCCAAAAATGTCTAATAAACCAATAGATTTTGAACAGGTTTTTAAAAGCCACATGACTAGTAGTTTTATTGAAGATAACATGGAACGTGAAAGTCAATCAAATAAACAAACTAATGCACTAGAAAATTCTAAAAACATATATGTAGTAGACAATAATGAAACTACCAATGAAGTTATGGATAAAATTAATTTTGTTGGTTTATCAGAAAATCATGAATACAATTTTGATTCTAATGAAAAGACAAATACAAGTAATAATACATCTATCAAAAATTTAAAAAATATTAATAAACAAAGTAATAGTATACTAAATTTTGAAACTAGTTATAATTGTAATTATTATGATGAAAGTTCAAAGAGATCTAATAAAAATATTGATTTTGATGAGTTATTTAACAAAACTCCCAACAAATTTATTAATTATTATTTAACAAGTTCAGATAATCCTAAAAAAAAATTTATCACAAATGATAATATTCTTAAAAGTTTAGACAGCTGTGATGAGTATAATTCTACAAATATTCAAAACAATGTAATGAAAACGAATGATTCTCCTGTATTTTCTAAAATAAAAATAAAAAAATCAGCAACTTGTATAGATACTAAATTTGTTGATACAACATCACCGGATTTTTCAAAAAAAATTTCAAGTCCTAATTGTGCTTCAACATTGCCACAAGTCAATCATAATATAGTAAATTTACCTGAAGAGATACATGATGACTTTTGGGCTAATTCAAGTAAAATGTATAAAAAAAATGGGATGGATTTTAATTTTGAAATAAATAATGATATCAAAAGTTGTAGTAATAGTAGTTTTGAAAATCATATAAATAAGTTTAAAGATAATAATAGTGTAGATAGTGATGATATGGATTTCATGTTTATTGATTACAAATCCAGCAATATTGAACAATATGCATTAAGTCAGAAATCAAAATCTCTTTCTCTATGTTCTAGTCATGAAAACAATGAAGTAGAAAAGTTGATAACTAGTAATTTAGATAAAGTTGACAATACACTGACATCAGTTAGTAAACTTCCTTCAATATCATCTCCATTTATGTGTATGCATTCTGGATTTGCAAAAAAAAAACAAGATTATGTATCCAATACGACTTCTAATAAAAAACATGTTGAGCAAAATAATAATCCAAACAATAAGCCATCAGAAACTGGTCGAATTTCATTTAATAATGAAATGAAACTCCTTGAAAAAAGTCCTATAATAAAATCAAACACTCAGCCTTTTAAAATTCAGTCAACTCAGCCAATTTCTGGTTTGCCTTTTAATAGCAATTTAGAGTTATTAAAAACTTGTAATCTTTTAAAGCCTGGCTTCAGTTTAAAAAGAAATGCATCAAAAACAATGAAAGCCCCTTCTATTACACCTAGCATAAATGTACCACAGCAAACTGATGTATCTCCAATTCAACCAAAACGATCTTATACTCGGACTCAATCAACTCCAAAAGTTCCATTGACTCAGAATAAACCAGTTAATTTTGAAATCCCAATTAATATAAAAAATGATTTAACTACCCAGACTTTTAAATCACTTGATAATTATTGTAAACCTACTAAGGTACCTTCATCAAGTGATGAGGATTCAGATGTATTTATTAATGATCAAAGTGAATCATCTATTGAAACAAAACAGATATATTTTAAATATACTAACAAAAACAAAAAAAAACCTAAGAAGGTTAGCATTATTAATTCTATACTTTATATTTTTATAATATAGTTATGACTAATGTTTTTTCTTACAGAAATTAGTATTTATTGATGATGAAGCAGAAGAAAGCTCAGACTGTGCTGATTTAAAAACATCTGATGAAGAAAGTCATGAATATGACAATTTTGATTCTAGTTTTATAGATGATTTAGACAAGACTGATGTTGCATCCATAAGTATGACAAAACAGTATCTTCAATCAGTAAAGTAAGTTTAAAAATATTAAAATTAATTTGAAGATAAAAATATTTATACTAAATTACATAATACATTTTTTAGAAGTCCAGCTGTTAATAGAGGGGTTTTTAAAATACCTCAATTAACAACAAAACATTACAACATGGATGTTTACTCTCAAGCTGTGGAAAAAAATGACAGTAACTATTTAGAAGTAAGATAGTTTACTAATTATATATAACTTTTAATATTTTTAGAAAATAAATATTATAATTTCAAGAAATTTTTATATTTTTGATAAAGGTAGCACAAATTTTATTTAATTTGTGCTAACTTATAAATAAATTGAGGTAATTGAGTAATATTAATAAAATATAAATTATTATTATCATTAGTGTTATTAATTTTTAATTACTTTATTAGGCAGTATAAATAATGAATAATTGTCTACTTTTTATAGTATACAGAGTTATCGGTTTATCATAATCAATAATCACTCAATTATTTAAAAAATAAATACAATATTGGAAAAAAGTATTGATTTCCTTTAATTACATGTATTTCTTGATTTATCAGTTAATAATTACTTTTTAAGACTCATCCATTTTAACTTAAAGAAGTATCAAGTTAATTTTTTTTTAATGGCAACATACATATTTAAATAGCATATAAAATAGAAAATAATCTAATTAAAAAAATGACTGGTCAATAACAACTTTTGAACAAATATTTCAGAAGTTATTCTCATTTTTATACCTATGCGAGATGAAGAGTATGCTCGGAAATAACTTGTTAAATATATATGTTTCCATTTAAAAAAATAAAATTGATATCCCATTAAGTTAATATGAATGATTTTAAAGAAGTAATTTTTAACTGATAAATCATTTAATTTAATGAAATCAAAAATTATTTTTTCAATATTCTATTTATTTTGCAAGTTTATGATAAATGGATCACTCTAGTAATTTGTTAAAATATTGTATCAGTAAGTGTTATAATTTATATAGAACCTTAACACTGAGATAATAATAAATAGTGTTGAAGTAATAAAACAATATTAGGTGTAAAATTACTAAAATTTCTAAAATAAGCACACTTTTGAAATATTAGATGAATTCATCCTCTCATTTATTTCCTTTGCCATACTACAAATTTTTATTTTATGGTAATAGAATTTATGAAAACACTTAAAAATGACCAAAGAACATAAGTTTTACCTCTATTGAATCCATGTACTATCATGTGAGGTTGACACATTCTAGTAGTCCAACCGTAAACATCATACATTTTGCTATCGCCATCAACATCCACTTTCTCATCCTCATTAAACATAGGTTGTGCCTATAAGAAACAATAAAAAAATTTAACAAAAATAAATAAATAATATATCAATTGATGTAGACATCCAATAAGTAAATACTTAAATAAAAATAGAGCAATTTTTTTTCTATATTGTATTTATTTTGAGTGTAATCAATTGGTTAATAATAATCTTATTTATAATAGTTTGATTTTTAAGAAATTTTGACACTAATTCTGAACCAATTCATATTTTTTCATCACATCTAGTTATTTCAAGATAATTATGAATTAGTAGTAATTAAGGGTTGATTAAACATCTAAATTATTATAAAAAATGAAAAATATTTTTTTTAATATTTAATTAATTCACTTTTTTTTTTAAATTTTCTAATTTAACTTGATGATATTAAAATAATTTGTAGCTTATCTATCAAGTTTATCATTTTTTATAAAATTTTAAATTTGAGTTTGATCTATCTACCTACAAACATATATAAATTTAGTTTTAGTTCATAAATATGATAATATTTAATACTTAAGTTGACAGTATTTTATTAATAAAATACACATTAATTGTTCTACATTTTCTTTCAATCATCAATAATATTTATATTAAATATATATTTTTGATTAAATTTTAATCAAATCTTAATTTTGATAAAATAATGTTTTACAGTATAAAATATAGTATTCATGAAAACTTATTACAGAAAGATGTTAAATAAATTATTAGTATCATTTTTGTAAATATTAATGTGTTGAGTAATGAATAAAAAAATAAAATAAAACTATAATTTTTTTTTAGTATTGCACTAAAAATATATAATTATAACTATAAAAATAAAGTTCTATCTAATTTGGAATTTTTTTTTCTTAAAATTGGAAATTTTGTACTTAATGAGTTTCTGAGATAATCGTTTCAGTTTCAAATTAACATTATCTGCAAGTCAAAAAAATATTTTTAACAAAATCTTTAAGAAAAAATTCATCTACTATCAAACTACTTTTTAATAGTTTTAATAATAATATAATACTGTATATTTATTAGAATAAATACTATGGTATCTATATTATTGACTACTACTTATGCTTTATAATATTTCTAGGATTCATTTTGTGTGCAAGATACTTCAGATATATATACTTCATCCAGCACTAGTGGTGCTCATCAAACAAATGAGGAATGTCCATTACCACCACTACGTTCATTCAAATGTAGACCAGAAAAAAGAAAACGTATATTGTCTCCTCAGAAAAGTGATAGTGATGATAGCCCAGATCAATTTCACAAAAAGAATCTTCATAAAAGAATTAGGATAAACAATATATTGGATTCTAGCTAGTATTGTATTGTAGCTTTATATTATTTTTATTTATAAAACTTAATTTAATGTTCTTTTTTTTTCTAGATATCCTATTGTGATTATATGTAGTACTATTTAGACAATTTAATCTAAAAATTCCTAATTTACACTATTGTGATTTTCATTTATATCAGATTATGAGAATTAAATTTTTATGTTATAATTTATACATGTTCAGTACAAACAACATAAGGTGATTTTTTTATTTTGCTAGTTTTTAATGAATTATACGGACATATAATTTTATTTTTCTGTGTTTTTTTTTTATTATTAAAAATTTATAATTTTTGTGTTTATTGACTTTTTTATATGGACAGTTTTTGTGAGGTGTTAAATTAAATTATATATTTTTTTCACTGTGCTTTGAGTTTAATTCCAATTCAGGACCAATTAAAAATATTTTGAGTTTTTGGCCTGAAAAATTACTATTTTTAACAGATTTTGTGGGGTTTTTGGTTACCAAAACTTCACTGTGCTTAGCAGTAGCTGTTTCAACTTACAAGATATCCCTAAATCGAATACGTACCTCCTAAATCGTCTGTAATTTAGATTTTTGATTTTCAAGTAGTCTAAAAAGACAATAGTCTTGTTTGGTACGCTTTAGACCCTAGTCTAAAGCTCTTTTCGTTTAGTCTCTTAATCTGTTTATCATTTAGCCATAGTTTCTAAATAATAGCTACCTAAGGGTATTGTATGTCTCTTAGTTAAGGTCCTTAGCAATTCCCTACTGGCCCGCTACTAGGTAGTGACCGTTCCCTAGGCGGGCGTTCATCGTTTCCGCCAAATTTGATTAAGGTACGATTTTCGTTTCCGCCAAACCGATAGTTTATACCTGTCTATAAAAAGAAGCTTGAGAACCACTGGTTAAAATATATGCCAAAATAACCCGACAATAATAATTATTCATTTAATCGAATTTTTTACTATTTTTTTATTATTATTAGATATCAGTGCATTGATAATTGTGAATCATTTCATTCACATTTTAATAAACAATTTTTTAAGGCGCATCCTTCTATTAATATATATTTTTTTAATTTTAATAAAAAATATTTAGTCTTATAGTTACATTAAAATATATAGTTTTGATAATGCAGTCTCAAAAAGCGTACGGAATAAAATTGAAATTCGTTTCAAAAAAACAAAAGAAACAAGTGATAAATTTAATAACAATGAAATTAGCCGATTTTAATTTGTGAAATTAGTGTTCAACAACTATAGAAAAATGTATAGATCATAGATCTATTTTTTATTATATTATTAAAGGTATTAGATATTTTTTAAGCTTATTGTTAATGTTTGAATTCTATTTCAATGTTTTGATGACTTTTTATTTTCTTATAAACTACATTTTTATAATTCATTACAAATATATATATATATACATACTCAAGATAGTTATCTATTAGAATTTATTTACCTTAGGTAAAACGTCATATTTTCTTTATAAAGTTATGCCTATGTGATAAAATAAGTAATTATTCAAAACGACGTGACCATATTTAGAGGTGGTTAAGTGGGTCAAAAATTCTTGGGGGCAAATGTCATTTGATAGTGATAGGACAAAAAATTACTTTATTTAGCTTATTAATATTAATACCCCACGCAAAAATCTTAAATACAGGCCTGAACGTAACATTCAATAAAAGCCAAACAATATGGTACTGGCAGCTACCTAACTTGGCCGTATGTTTAAAACCGATACTGGATCGTCATGGTGAACCATGGATTAAACTAAATGGTTCTCAAATTTTTTAGTAGATAGACAGGTAGAGGATTAGTTTGGCGGAAACGAAAAACCGACCTTATTCAGGTATGGCGGAAACGATACGGTCAATTTTGGCGGAAATGATAATCTCCCCCCTAGGCATGCATTCTACGTTTCCCTTCTGGTCTATAGAGAAACTCCCTTTAGTTCCCACCGTTACTGAGAATGACGGTTTTCCAGGCCCTTACCATATGTGGCTCATTTCCTCTTTTTTCTTAGTAGAAATTGTAGTGAATCCCTTTAATTTTTTTAATAATTATTGTTTTTTAGACTACTTGAAAATCAAAAATCTAAATTACAGATGATTTAGGTAGTACTTGTTGCCATTGATATAAATCATTAATTTAATTATTATCAAACAAAGACATTAATATCGAAAAAATTCTATTATTTTGTTTAAAGTTTTACTTAAAATAAAATGAGTTACTATCAATCATTTAATAAAAATAGGTATGTTTTTTAATTTATCTGATCTCTTGGAGAACCAGCATTTAGGATTTTTTTTTGTTTTTTTGGTAGTCATTTGTGTATTTTCGATAGGTTGTGGCGTTTCAGGTTGGTCGCTTTTCTCTGTTATTACACTTTCTACTTGATCAGTTGTTGAATGTGGTTGACATTCTTCGGAAACATTTTCGGTACTCGAGTCACACTTCAAAAATTTTAATTGAACGCAACAATCATTGGCCTTAAACGGCGGTATCTGAATACAAATAATTATATGTGAAAAAAATTCAGCTTGTGTCAATACTCATTATTATAATATTATGTTTTTCTTTAAAAGATGATAAAATTTAAGGATCGCTAAAATTAGATTTTGATTGGATTTATGGTATTGAACTTAATAGTGATGATGAGTAAAAAAATAAAAGTTATTTTCATTGGTCAGCCACCCTCCAAATAATATATTTAAGAACTTACCTCATGTATGGGTACATCTTCGTCACGATAACCATATACTTCGTCTTCTGTACTGGCAGCAGAATATGTTAGCCATTTGACAATGCGTTCGTAAACACAGGGACGTCGACTAGACTTTTGTGACCTCTTGGTATTCATTTCGCCAGCTTCTTGCTGTTCATTTTGCATAGCTTTATTTAAAAAGTCAACAGCCAGTGTCAAATAAACAGAACATTTCGTGTTGTTGCATTTACATCTTTGTAATGATGTAAGATCGTCGGACAACCAATCGGCAGTCTCTTGATTGTGAACAACTGAAGCAATTTCACTAGCATTTGAATCGATTTTCCATTGTTGACTAATTTGTTTGCCTGATCCTTTTTGACATTGTTCAGGAACTTGGTCCAGAACATGTGTTTTCACTAGAGTCTCTTCGTCAGTACAGTATGCCTGGAAACCTTCGTCTATACTGAATTTGTTCTGCGACGCCATTGAATGCTTTTGACCTAGAATTATATTACGGACTTGTTCGGCGAATAAAAACCCGTGATCAACCATGTAGTAGTCTCCAATATCATTAATTTCGTCCGAATCGCTGGTGTAAACCGGTTCCGGCAAGTTTAATACTTCTTTTAAGACGTCATTGCTAATTTTTGAAGTTCGTTTTTTTCTTTTGCCTGCCGACGTACCACAGCTGTTGACTGGTCGACGTTGCTGATCGTGGACATTCGGCTCGTCGACGGAAGTTTTTTTATGTTCGTCTTTTAATTGGTCTTTTAGTGTGTTCATCGAGATTAATAAACAAAAATAACTTTTATTATTTCTATTACAACAATATTGTTAAGATACACAAATCTTCTTAATTTATCGGCCAATCCGATTTTTATTTCAGAATAATTATTTCAGTTAATTCATTTCAAAAATTTACTCTAAGTAGTCTAAAACTATTTCAGTAATAAGCATCATAATTATCAAAATACAACATTTAGTCATAAAACAAAATATGAGTTTTAAAATTTGAAATCCATAACTTTATCATCGGTATTAGATTTAAGCGCAATAATAGTCATTAAATTGATACATAGAACAAGTGATTTCTCTACAAATAAATTAGCAATGGTTGGCAGTGTCAGTCTGGGATCTTGGCACCCTGGAGACGATTTCCATAGGGGATTTACAAGTTAACTTGTCTATGTGCTTGTTTACATTTTGAACATTTCTATAACTTCTCAATATAATCAAAATATTAAAGATTTTCAATGACAAAAAAAATCTTTTTTTACTAAAATAAAAAAATTAAAGATAAAAATAGAAAAGATGTAAAACAAACAATGAAAGACTTATCTGTATAAAGTAGATTAGATAAATGTTAAATAATGGCGGTAGAAATCGAAATGTATAAACGCGTTGAAATGGTGAAGATATAAACGATGGTATGGCAGAAGACGGCTTATCGGGTATACATTAGTAACAGGTATCAAGTATGAGTGCAAATTATCACGCAAATCCTAATATTTTGGCGTACCGGTTAGATGCAGGGCACATAGTGTCATACGTTATTTGATGGCGAATTGGTAACTACAAGGGTAGTCGTCTGAGAACTAAGTACTTTAGAAGCGGAGTCTGAAAAAGTGAATAGGCAAGAAAGCTAAGGGAGCTTGGGGTACAATGGGTTGTGTAAAAACGATAAAATATGGTGCACAACGGCCAAACAATGACACAAACGAGTGGAAGCAGTTGAATAAGAGAAGAAGTCTTAAATTTCGAAGTATGCAAAAATGTACATAAAGTTTTATACTTAGCTTATTGATTTTCTGATATAAATTTAAAACTAACGTAAGTATCCCTAAAACCTTATAAAAAAACCAATAGTGGAGACGTGATATAGTTGGGACAAGTAAGAGAAATAATAATAAAAAATTATAAAGTACTTATTACTTTTATGGCAAACACGTATAAAAATGTAGAGCTTGATGCAACGCTTTTCAAAAACAAATTGTTTGTTCAGTATGAATATACTTTTCTAAACCCATTTTTGCGCCAATTTCAAATCTGCATTTAGAGTTTGGCATATGGACTAAATAATTATATAAGTTCCTGGTCAGTGACGTCGGAACCGATGGCAAGGGGGAANTTTATGGCAAACACGTATAAAAATGTAGAGCTTGATGCAACGCTTTTCAAAAACAAATTGTTTGTTCAGTATGAATATACTTTGTTTAGAGTTTGGCATATGGACTAAATAATTATATAAGTTCCTGGTCAGTGACGTCGGAACCGATGGCAAGGGGGACAATTGTTCCATTGGTCAAAATACGAGGGGGGCATAAGTATCATTAAGCTATATAGAATCTGACAAAAAATATTACAATGAATATGGAAATTAATATAACACTACCATATTTAGTTATTAACTATTCAGATTTTAGGATTAAAAAGTGTTAATGAATTTATCTAACTCCAGTTGAATATTAAAAAACAGTAGCATAGTCGTGGATGCAAATCTTTAGATAGTGTTTAATTTTAAAAGATTGGTGGATTATTCCAAAAGCTACATGATCTGCTAGTTTCTTATTAATATCCTGATTAAGATAAAGTATGTCGAATGAAAAAGGGATTATTAACACTTTTCAATAAGTTATAGCATTATAAAGTTAAAAATGTAAAAAATAAAATCGAGAATTTTCACACAAAAATAGCATTTGGTAGCCATTTTGACCGTGAAGACAAAATTAAGTCCGAATTTTTTTTTTCCCATAATAAAGTACATCACATTAGCTTTAATTTAAGATATATATAAAAGTGTCAGACTTTCCGGAACACTTAAAAAATTTGTCATTTTAAATCCCCCCCTGTGGGCAGGTAAAGGGTCAGATTTATAAAAAAAATATACCAAATAAAAGGTAATGACATCAAGTATCTATATAAAAAAAAAATTATATTGATTTGGTAATTTTTGAAAAAGTTATCACAGTTTTAAGTAAAAAAATTTGAAAATTAGCGATTTTTAAATTTGTAATTTTTTGGAGGTTTTCTCCATTTACGGGGAACAAGGGAAATTTTTTCAATTTTTGAGGGTAATGTTTTCAAATGGATACGATTTGTGATCTTTTGACGTATCGTTGAAAGAAATCGGTGCGGTGAGAGCTGAAATAAAGTGCTAACAGAAACAAAAAAATAAAAAAACACATCATAGTAAAATTATACCTTCTCAGCTTCATATTGTAGCTAAAATATAATTTGAACACAAAAAAAGCATGTTTTTTAACTACGGAAATCATTTGCACATAGATTATAGGCAGTCGGGGCAAACAAATACCATTCTCAGCTTCGCAATGAAGCTAAAAGTATTAAAAATGTTAAAGTTTACCGATTTTTAGAATCGTAATTTTATTGTTGATTTAAAAGAAATGAGGGAAATTTTTTTCAATTTTGGAGTGCATCGTCTTCAATTAGTTACGATTTGTGATATTTTGACGTATCGTTTAAAGAATTCGGTCCGATGAGAGCTGAGACATATGGTGACAGGCCACCACAATTCTCATTTCTTAAAAATTAAAGGTGCCATACATTTTGCAAATGATGGAATGATTTCAAATTTGATTAAAGTTTAATCAATTGAATGATGTTATCTCACAGTACCTCGAGTTCAAATTTCGAACTTTCGCAAAATTCTAAAATACTATTCTGAGATTAATAATGTTAATCTTATGTTAATATTACCGAAGGTATAAAATTTAAACTTTATAATGTAAACTGATCAAATTTTACTCAAATAATCATATTAAAATACCAAACATTAGCGTGAGGTGTCAGGGTATCAAAGAACCGTATCAACTTAAATATTTCTTTTTCTTTATATTTGTGTGTTATGATTGTGATATCGAACTCTAAATTTAGAAGTAAAAAAAAAAAATGAATAAATAAAATTAAGCAGGGAACCAAAATAGTTGCGGTTTTTAACAATTTCTTCTTTATGCAGTAAATTAGTTTATTAATATAGACTTTTTTTTAGCGCATGTTGAAAAAATAATTGTAGAAACAAAAAATAACATGAAAATGCCTTTAACTTAATCGAACTTAATCTTTGAATTTAAAAACCGAAGTAAATAATTAATATATCGGTTAATTTCGATTTTTAACCTTAACAAGGTCAAATATTATGCTTGGTTAAGGTTTTAAAGATAATAATACATTTGGTGTCTACAATTATTAATCATACAAATTCTAATAAAGATTGATAATTTTAGAAATATTTTTTAACTAATATTAGTCATTGAATTTTTAATTATTATTGATTTTAAATAAGTATCACCATTAGATTATTAGGTAGTTAATTTTTATATAATAAATTAATAACATAAAAACAAGAATTTCTATCACACAAATAGTATTTTTGATTGAAGTTAGTTGTTTTCACAATAATATTTTAATACATAATATTGTTTGATATTAATTTTTAAATAAGTCAAGCCATGATAATATTGATTTACATATTTAATACTAAGTAAGATATTTAGCGTAAACGATTAACATGAATTATTAAACTAAACAGTTATACTATATACAAAAAGACTGTAAAATAACAACAATAAAAGTATGTAATAGTTCATTTATCTATAATTTATACACATAATAATAAAATGGGTTAGCGAAAATTCTTTATTTTTACAATCAATAACGCAAACCTGATATAATAGTATCAACGACTGAACAAGTTAAGAAACAGTTGTCGTATTTCAATAACTAACACTAAAAGTATGTACAATAATTAAAATAGAAAGACGATAAGTCAAACGATATTATTCGTATAGTGTATAATTAATCATATTGATCACAGGTAAACTCTTCGTAAATTAGATGGCAACGTTATGACGTAGCACTGAGGGCATAGTTTTTTTGAACCCTGAAAATGGAAAATATTTTGTTATATTATCACAATGATGGTACTGAAAAAAAAAATATTTTTTCACAATGGCTAAAAACAATTTCAAATATTTAACGTTACAATCAATTTTAAATACTAGAGAGATGTACTTTTTATTGTAAGTATTAAAAATAAAATCAATTTTACCAAAATTTGCAGCCAACACACTTCGCAGTAAACGTGCCAACAAGAGGTAGACACAACGGGGTCTTTGAAGTTTCCCTGTAAACAATGAACGTGTTGATAATACACAAAATCACTATAAATTTTCATGTCGTTAAATTTTGGCACACATACTTTACATAACAGACACGTAAATTTGTCGATGGTCTTCGATACCAACTCCAATTCGCGAATTCTCGCCTTCAGAGCTTCCACAACTTGATTGCTGTTGTTGTTATTGTTTAACTGATACGATTTATCCACGTCCAGTTTTGCCTTGGACGATTGGTTGCCGTCTTCGGTCGTTTGTTCTTTTTTTATGGATACGTCCAATGGACCCGAATTATTTTCGCTAAAATCTGTTGACGTCTCCATACCATTTGAGTCGTTCTGCCTGTTATCAAATAAAAAAGAAAACTCCAGTAAAAATATTGTAGAACAAATTTTAACAAGCTGGCATAATTATGGAATCATTATCTTTTTTGAAAATCTCTAATAGTAATCGATTGGGAATTCTTTATGTCAGTAAAACAACTTTCTAAAATGTTTTTCATTGATAAACTTGATGATTTTAAAGGCTATAATAAGTAAGAAATAAGATAAAAGAAAACAAATTTCGAGCATGGCTTACTCGAGTGTAAGTTGGCTCTCCGAAGTGGGAGGTGGAATTATATCCTGTTCAGCGTACTGGTTTGGACCGTACTTGTATAAGTCGTCTTCGCCGTTGTCATCAACCACTAATACCGCGTCCTCTTCTTCAGCGGTTGACTGTCTAGGGTTACAGTTAACAATAGGTACACCGGCTACGAAAAAAAAAAAAAAACAATTTGAAAAATAGTTACAAAATGTCTATACGAGTGAGGCTGTCTTGGTCATTTATTTCAAAATAATTTAAGCTAAGAAAGGAATACCAAAATTTCGTATTTTAAAAACAGGACGGTTAATTTATCATGAAACACTTAATTAATCGAAAAATATAAATAATATTGATAATTTTTTATTTCATTTATTTTAGGTACATGATTTCCTCAATTTATCAATCAATCTTAAAGTAATTTTTATCTCTTATACTTTATAAGGGCATCAACAAAAAAATGACTAATCAATAATGACTTTTTGATCAGTATTTCGGTAGTTTTTAATATTTTATAGTGATGATAGGAGGTGAAAAAAGTATGGTTAATTTTATTACTTATCATTTTCAAGCCATACTGATCCAAAAATTATCTACCATTCCTTTCTTAATTATATTATATTTATTTAATAACCCAGTTAAATATATGTTACTATTTAAAAAAAATAAAGTCCATATTNCATTTTCAAGCCATACTGATCCAAAAATTATCTACCATTCCTTTCTTAATTATATTATATTTATTTAATAACCCAGTTAAATACATGTTACTATTTAAAAAAATAAAGTCCATATCNTTTATTTAATAACCCAGTTAAATATATGTTACTATTTAAAAAAAATAAAGTCCATATTCTCTCAAGTTATAATGGATGATTCTAAAAAAGTAATGTTTAACTGATGATAAATCATATAATTAAATGAAATCAAAAATTATTTTTCAAATATTGTATTTATTTTGCGAGTTCATAATAAATCAGTAAGTATTATAATTTATATAGAGCCTTAACACTGAGATAATAATGCACAAGGTTGAAGTAAAAAAACAATATTTGGTGTAAAATTACTAAAATAGGCACAATTCTGAAATATTAGACGATTTCGTCCTCTCATTTATTTCCTCCGTCGTACTACACATTTTTATTTTATGGTAATAGAATTTATGAAAACACCTAAAAATGACCATTGAACATAAGTTGTACCTCTATTGAATCCATGTACCATCATGTGAGGTTGACGCATTCTATTGGTCCAACCGTAAACATCATACATTTCGCTATCGCCTTCAACGTCCACATTCTCATCCTCATTAGACGTAGGATGTCCCTATAAGAAAAAAAAAATTAACATAAATAAATAATATATCAATCAATGAAGACATACAATAAGAAATAAAAGGAAGTATTTATTTAATTAATAAATAGTTATATTGAAATTATTCGATCATCAATAAATTCTATTATAAACCACTTTTCATACTACTTAAATTATTTTATAATAAAAATACGTTACAATTACCTTGTGTCTTAGACACATTTCTACGTGAAGGTTCATTTGTTCTTGAGTACCAGACAAGGGGTCGCTGCAAACAGGACAGCAAACATCATCCGGTTTTCTTTTGCGGTTTTTGATTCTCAGCCTATTGTGACGATTAGCTTTTACTTTTTGATATGTCTATAAGAAATACAATATATATAATTATAAATTGCTTATTGTGTATAATATTGTATTAAAGTCAAAATACTATGGGTGATTATCTAACCACCCATAGTACTTGGTTTGATTTGATTTACTTTACTTCATTATGAATGTCAAATTTCAGTTAAATTATGTATCCAGACATTTGTTTACTGTAAATAGTCCCTAATAATGGCCTACTTATTGAAAAAATAAAATACTGGTCTTTCAATCATTTTGAAAGTGAGAATTCATTTATTAAAAATATATTCATCTATTTATTTCGACTGTTAATGATGGCACTGATTGTGCGCAGGTCATTTTGATAAAAAGAAAAAAAAGAGTTATTTTTTATACACCAGTCCACACCTTCATTACATATTTCATGATGATGTTAAAAATAAACATGCATTATTAAATCTATATTTATAGATCTATAGATCTAAATATAACTAATTAGAGGGTGCTAAGTGGAATTTCCTCTATTTTAAGTACATTGTTACACATCCATTATTGTAATTTTTCTACATTTTTGTTGGAGTGCTAAGTATGTACGGGTTTATTTGCTAGTAAATTTCACACATTCAATAAAGACCAAAAGACATCACGAATAATAATACACATCTCATTTATAATAATAAACATTTTGCTGTCGAACGGAACTAGTAACGAGCTGGACAGCAATAATGTTTATGGGCGCAAAACAATAGAAAGCAATTAGACCAATAATATTGCTACCAATAATAAATATAATACTCTCACATATTTTATTAGAGAATTTAAAGAATAACACAATAGTAAAAATACCGCCTGTACAATATTGTATTGTCATTTTTCTCCGAGTGGACGTTTTGCCGGACAACATAAAAATATTTAACGCATTTATGCATGTCTGCAGTGCGAACCCAAAGAAATGACCTGTACGTGAACGTTCTACGCTGATAACTTTAGCTACCTCAACACACTAAGGTTTAGGGCTCGTAAAAAACGATCTGATCCGGTGAATAAAAAATATTTATAAGCGGATTCTAGGAAATCAAATGAAAATTTTGAAATGAAATTTGATTTAAAAAAATAATTTTGTAAAACTAAATAAAATTACAGTTAATTTTGAAAAATGAAAATCCACTTGAGTTGTACATGTAGAAAATTGTTCGAAATAGTTATTAAAACCACAACACAAAATGCTTTAAGATATACACCGAAACTAGAGCTAAAAATGACAGCAATAATTCACTCGGTTGTATCTCGTTTGTCAATTTTAAGAGGTATAAAAATATGTTGACGACAATATTATTAAAATGAATAAAATATCGTTTTTATGTGTCGTTAAAAAATTTATTTAATAAAAAAATCAAATTAGTATATTAAAAATGCTCTCGTGGATGGATTTATACTCATTCCTGTACCCGAAATGGTACTTAACCACTCTGAGTTTATTGTTACTTTTGACATATTTTTTTCAAACGATGTATAAATAAGCCATAAATTTTGATCATTTCTCGCCAACGACGATGTTTATGACCAAGTACTGTCAAACCACAGTAAAATGTGTTTTATTTGACGGCGAACAAGAATTATTACTACCGACAGTACTACTGACAGACGACAGTTTTGTTACAATTAAATGCAAAACTACATACCATAAAAACCGTGTAAAAATAAAATCTCGAGCTGCCTAAATCTTATTCAGTAACTTTTAAGTACACTTTTTTGAAAAAAAAAAAAAAAAGAATGTTATTGAAATAAAATTAATTACTCACTTCCCATCGGCCGTGCAAAGAAGCGTCTCGGCCTGGCGATAAAGCTGATCCTCCACCTCCTGTTCCAACTTCCGTTTCTCTGGCTTGATCTTTGAAGTCCTTGTCACCGCCGGTTCTCAACCTGTTCCGGCGATTGGCGGAAGCTTTGTAAAGCCGTTCGAGCTCGTAAACAAAGTGCGATTCAAGTTCGTGGGGCCTTAGCGAAACGCCACAAACCGGACAGCAAGGCTGTAGTTGCTGTTGTTGGAGCTGTTGAGGTTTGACGGTAACCGTCGGCGGAACGGCAGCTTTTTTCCCTGCAGAACCGAAAATATCATTAAAATCGAAAAATGGACCGACAATGGGCAATGGGCGCGGGTGTTGAGGGGGTGTCGTTGCTGCGGTGGTCGACGGTAAAAACTGTTGCCTATTATGAAAATCGGTCATGGTTCAATGTGTGTTAGTGATAGCGGGCAGTTGAAAATTTCACTGGACGCGGCAAGCGTCTGCCGAGGATCAGGGGTTGCAGACTGACTGGCATAAACGCGCACTGGCACGCGGGAGACACCCCTCGGTAAACGTGCGACCGCTTCTCTTCGGGGTGAAGTCAACCGGACGGATATCGTTCCTTCGGAGAATGTATACGGGGTGATCGAGAAATATCCCAACAGCGTAGTGAACACAAAAGGTCAAAATAAAATCACAATTCACACATAATGATATATAGGTATCCCGTGTTCCCAAATCAGGCTAGAAGATCTCAGATAAAACGACATTAACACATACGCGTAGCACACGGATGAAGCTATCTTTGCAACAGACTGTGTGTCGGTTCCGCACCACCCTGTACAGAGGACTGTTTGCACCACAATAGGCACACGGACAAAACGCGTACTATCCCTTAACACAATGATACCTTTACATAGGTGTAATGTGTGCCGGGGGATCGGATTCCGAAGTGACAAAGTGTTCTTTGTATGTGTATTATATACATACATTGTATAAGTCACCGGACGGAATTTGATTATTTTTTTTGCCAAGCCATTATGATTGTAACAAGGTGATGTTTTGTTGGGAACGTGGTGCGTAAATTCATGAAGGTATAGATAATATTTAAGAATGACAATAGCCACCAAGAGTTAGATAAGAAATGAGAAGAAACCTGAACACGCTATTTTAAACTATACTCTGTATCCAAATATTCAGAGCGACGCGTAAAACCTACTTCCCGATTAATTAAAAATTAAAAATTAATAATATTTACAAATTAAAACAAAACATTAAGTGAACCAGGATTTTCAATATTTTTTTGATACTTGTATTGCAGAGATCATCATGCGTATATAGGGAGGTTGGTGATGAGAGGATTTACCTAAAACTTTAAAAGCCAAAAATGATATCACAGAATTTTAGGTACGAAAATGGGTACATTGCGAACTGCTATTGATGTCCCTGAAGAAAACGGTTCTTTTGTCGTCGACATTTTTGTTTAGTAGAGTATAATGAAAATTTTAATTTTTTAAATATCACCAAGAAAATTAAGTCTTTTCATAAAACTAAAAATATTTGCCTAATTATTATTACCAATATAGTAATTGAATATTGGTAAAATTGGGTTGTAGTAATTTTTGTTGGTTTCTCAGTGAAAATGTATCATACTCGAACAACCCCATGTGTACATAATGCACAATTCGATTATAAATCCCTAGCCAGTATGACGCCTTGATCGTCGGTAGTCTGAACCAGGTGCAGTGCACAGGTCTTGTTTTGTGCGTGTGGCCCTGAGCCGATGACCCACAGCAGGAGACTCGTGCGATTCGACCTTCTTAGTTAATATTCTCATTACTCCAATGGTAGTTGTAGCGCGTAAGTGTTTTCATTTGGTTTTTTAAACTTCAAAAGTAGTATTTTATCTTTTCTCTTTTGCAAAATAATTTACAAAAACCATTAATTAAAAATAAAAAAATTATTCGCGGTGATAATTGACAATTTTAATTTGAATGACTCGTTGAAGAATGATAGTTATACTAATCAATGTTAGTAACTAAATGTCATTACTGAATCCTAATACAATATAAATTATAGATAGATGATACGTTGACTCCTAAAAGCAAACGTTTCTATAAATTTAAATTGTCCTGTTTTCCAACATTATTGTTGCTTGTAATACCGCCAAAAGACTAACCAGAATTGAGATTATATAGACGAATACTTTGGCCATTACTAAGATACTATACTAAAGTGTGTCTCGACGAATATTTTATTATTATAAAACTGTCAGTTGGACAATACGTTTAGTAATTGTTAACAAGAGTACATCACTAAATTTTATTGAACGCATTTAGTATGAGAGTTAACAAAGTCTAAATGATAATAAAATTTGGTGAATCGATTATCTGTTTAAGACATGTTTCAAATTTAAAATATATTGTCCATTGTAAAAATGTCAATCGATCACAACGTTGATTTTTTTTGTTTTGTTTTTTAATCGGTAAATGATTTATGATCATGAACAAGTAATTAACTTAAACAGAACGCTTACATTCGACTTCTAATAACTCATAATGTTAAAATTAATCGAAAATCTAATTTACTAAGCTTGAACGTAAAAATAATGATGTAGGTGGTAAATTTTTTCTGCTTTCATTCGAACAGATATTTATAATGCCATTTACTATCATCTACAATGTAGTGACTCTATTGATGTATTTGCTACGGTTTTTATTAAACTATATCAAACTTTACTTGACAGGGGAAAAGCGATTTTATATGTTTACAGACGGATCCGATACGCGTTCCATGCCTAAATATGCTATTCAAACGTGTCGTGTGTACCCAATTATAAAAATTACGGTTTGTCTAATTGAACAAACACATTATCTATTTATTTATTGATGGAGAGTCAGAAAAAATATTACTATAACTAAAATTAAAAGTTTCTGTCGCGGCCTATTCCCCAAAACTTCTTTAAGAATGTTAAATCTACTGGTTAAAAATCTAAAGGTTTTTTGTTCGTTAATGTTTTTTAATGATATAAAATTATTCAGTTTAGACTTTTATATTATATATTATTGTTTTGTTTATACACTGTTTTTCAAACAGCTTAACCCTGTTTAGTTTGAATTTCTATGACAATATTAATAAATTTATATATATATATATATATATATACGTTGCCAGCATACTATTTCTGCGTACACATACGGAAAGGTGTTTTAGTGGTCTGACAAAGGGTCCTTTGTCGCGGATACGTTAATAACAACAAAGAATATGTGATAGCACCTTTTCAATTGTAACCATCCTCAACGGTGGAGGGTAACTATTTTTGTGTTCACCAATTTTTGACTTTGCACGATGTAATTCATCTGTTCGACAAAACGCTATTTATCAATTACTTCCTAAGGCTTTGTTCGATTTCTGTAAATGTATACCCATTGATACACTATAGTTTGGTACGTGAACATAAGTCACTCAGCTATATATTTAATTGTTAACTATTATTTTTGCAAAATAAAAATTGGGTCATAAAATAAGATCTTTAAACATATAATCAAATATATAGTGTTTCTAGACAGAATCATATTAATATATGGATGAGAATCTACGAATGGTACAAAGAAAGGTCTCGTTGCCCATATTTCAATATCTCGAAAATATCGGTTTTATCAGAGTTACTCATAAAATAATTACTAAAATTAAAAATAAATTACTTCATAAAATTTCTTGCAAAATGGTCATACGAAAATAGGGATTTTTTAAAAAATAATTCACATTGTTGACCTCAATTTTAATACGTATAGTTCAAAAATTGTTTTTTTATTGTGACGCCTCATTTCGCAGAGAGAATTTTACAAAAAAATTAATTGTGTGATTTATTTTTTCTATTTTTTATTGAAATATTGTTTTATAACCATTTTGTATTAGTCAACATGTTTTAGTTAATTCACAAAACGATCAACAATAATCGTGGTCAGATAATTTTTATTATAACAAGTAAATTACAAATAATTAAATAATAAATAATAAAATAGATTATAGATAAAAGATACATATCAAACATTAACCTGACTTTTCTGTTTGGATAATAAGCAAATTTTCATTTTTAAATTATTTTAATTTTATAGCACAGAGTTTGGTAAAATTAGATTTATGTTATACTTAAATGTACTACTATCTACTCTAATGTTATACTATCTCAGATAGTATTGAAAAAAATGGTGATCACGTCGAACAATATTTATATTTTTCTTCTGTCAACTTTTCTATCTCATTTATTTAAACCGAGAAAATTTTAATGTCCAAAAAGCGTAAAGCCAATGGGTAATATTTTTAAACTAATAAATACCATATTGCTTTTACTAAGATTAATAAATTATTTTTAAATATTAACTTATTAATATAAACAAAATATGTTCGCATAAGTTTTAATGATTTTATAGATTTATATATAAAAATTTTACTGAAAATAGATTCTACTGACAAAATTAGTACTACTAATTATGAATTAGGTTCCCTATTTTTAGGGAGAATTTACATAATTTAGTTTTATATTTATTGGTATTTAATAGAAAATACGTTCTAAGAAAGAAAGTTATTTTTTTCAAAGTTTTCATGTGACTTTTTTATGACAAATAAAATTCAAATAAATAATGTTATTATATAAATTTTATATTTACATAAATTTATCTATCTCAATCCATCTAATTATTTAGAAAATTTTTTTAGGAAATGTTCTTAGCGTTTTTAGTTGTGTACTTTTTCCGTCCAACCCTTATACTTTATATTTGTGTCGATTTTATTTTTTAATGACAACATACATATTTATCTAGCTTATACAACAGAAAATTATTAAATTATGAATATGCCTGATTTAATTTTTATACATGTATTTCGGAAGTTATTGCCATTTTAAAAAATAAATTGTTGAATTTTTAATAATTTTATATTTAAGTGAAAGGTGGTCGACAAATAAATAATGTTAAATATATAAAAGGCATTCAAAATTAATTTTAGAGATGATAAAGTAAAAATAATAGTAAATTAAAAACTCTTAATTAAAAATTTCTGAAAAAATTCCCCACTATTAGAAATTATATGAAACTTATTACTTATTATTATAACTCTATTACGAATATTGTGGTCAGAAAATTCCGAATGTAACATTCATGTTGCGGTTTAATATTTGCTTGTTTATTAGAAACAAAACAAAATAATTTATAGCCATTGAAACTGTTCAACAACAATATTGGTATTTTTTTTTTTCAAAACTTAAAGGAAATTGTTGTGAAAATAAATGTTTTCTCCCTTTTTCTTTTAT